TTGAGTGCATCGGTCTGGAGGGCTGCTGAGCATCTCCACGTTGCATTGCACCTGAGGAAAATTACATGTTCTGGGTGTGCTCTGCTCTGAACTTGGGCAGAAAACTTTGCAGGAGGGACTAAAAAAACCCCAAAAAACCACAAGGAAAATTGCAGAAGCTGGAGTTTCTTATTTGAGTTGTCTGTATAGAAACTTTAAAAAAAAAAAAAAAAAAGGCAAAAAGGAAAAAAAAAAAAAGCTGCCTGGCTGCTGTGCTGGTTGCAGGTATCTGCCTGAGAGCCCAACCCTATGTCAGGAACTTCATTGCCCTTGAATCGAACCGTAAGGGTGAAGTGAACAGATTTGTTGATGTGCACAGGTTAGGAAACGACCATCAAAGCAGCGTTCTCTCGCAGGTCATTCCCTAGGGCTTTCCTTACGCTGTCACTGAGACATAGGTGAGAATCCCTGGCAGGGTTGGTGTTGGAAGCCCAGGCTAAGATGGCTTGGTGCCGCCGGAGGGCTGTCTGAGCAGAGCGGAGCGTGCCCGCGCCCAGGCTGCCCCAGGTGCGGGGAAGGCTGCGGGGTGCGGGGGAAGCCCGGGACCCGCTCCCGCCTCCCACCGCTGCTGTGCCGTGAATTCGTATTTTAATGTACATTACATAATTGTTGGATTCGGGTCTTTCAACTCCTAAATCCTCAAGCCCCGTTTATTCTATTGTTTAGCCAATAGAGGGTATTCCAGCATCTTTTTTCTCTGGCAAAACCGGTGTATTTCGAATTATTCTAAAATTATCCGCACTTTTGAAGGACCGATTCGCGTCCGTCCGCGGAATGCAGTAGCGCGTGAGTCCAGCCGGGCTCGCCGAGGGCGACGCTATAATTATAATTAGTGGAAATGAGCTTGTTCTGCTCCCGCTTGGAAATCCGTGAAGCGTGCGGCACGGGGGGAGCAGAGCGAGGGTCGGGGGGCAGCCCCGGCCCCTGAGACCGAAAGGAAAAAGCCGCGGGGGCCGGGGGGCCAAATAACCCCAACCCACACAGCGCCGATTTTCTTTTCTCTCTTTTTTTTTCCCCCCTCCTCTCCCGTTCCCGGGGGGGGCGGTTTCCCGCCGGCGGCCCCGCGGGCTCCCCCGGCCGCGCAGCCCGCAGTGCC